CGGGGCTCATCGCCCAGCTGGCCGCCCACCCTCAGCCGCTCCTGCGCTCCTTCCTCCTCAACACCAACATGGTCTTCCAGCCCAGCGTCAAGTCCCTCATCCAGGTAGACCCTCGCAGGAGCCCGGGGGGGGACCCTCCTGGCGGGCAGGCCCCTTGCCTGGCAGCGCCCCTCACCCTCCCTCCCTCTTCCCCCCGGCAGGTCCTGGGCTCGGTCAAGAACAAGATTGAGAGCTTTGCCGCCTCCCAGGAAGACTTCCCCTCTCTCCTCTCCAAAGCTAAGAAGTACCTGGTGGCCAGAGGGAAGCTGGACTGGTCAGACGCCCAGAACGCCACGCCCGCCCTGCGCCGCTCGGAGACTCTGGGTGAGGAGGAGGGGGCGGGGGCCCTGGGAGGTAGCAGTCTGGGTGCCGTGGGGGCTCGGGGGCGGCTCAGGGTCAGAGCCCATGCCCCAGGGCTCCCCTGGGCACGGATGACTCCTTAACAAGAGTCCGTGGAAGCCTGCTATTGAATAATAATAATAATCATAATTATACAGTGCTACCTCTGGTTAAAAGCGGGTGGCGCTGTGGGTTAAACCACAGAGCCTAGGGCTTGCTGATCAGAAGGTTGGCGGTTCGAATCCCCGCGACGGGGTGAGCTCCCGTTGCTCGGTTCCTGCTCCTGCCATCCTAGCAGTTCGAAAGCACGTCAAAGTGCAAGTAGATCAATAGGTACCGCTCCAGTGGGAAGGTAAACGGCATTTCCGTGCGCTGCTCTGGTTCGCCAGAAGCGGCTTAGTCATGCTGGCCACATGACCTGGAAAAACTGTCTGCAGACAAACGCCGGCTTCCAAGGCCTATAGAGCGAGATGAGCGGCGCAACCCCAGAATTGTCCTCGACTCGACCTAATGGTCAGGGGTCCCTTTACCTTTTACCTCTGGTAATGGAGGCACATTTGCAACCTGAAAAGAACGCAAACCACGTCTGCGCATGCACGGGTTGCGATTCGCTGCTTCTGCACATGCGCGTGACGTCATTTTGTGCGTCTGCACATGCGTGAGCGGTGAAACCTGGAAGTAACCCCTTCCGGGTCGCCACGGGACATAACCTGAAAGAACGTAACATGAAGCGGCCGTAACATGAGGTATGGCTGTAGTAATAATAATAATAATAATAATAATAATAATACAGTGCTACCTTGGTTCTCAAACTTAATCTGTTCCTGAAGTCCGTTCCAAAACCAAAGCGTTCCAAAACCAAGGTGTGCTTTCCCATAGAAAGGTAGCTGAACTAGGTTCCACGCAGTCAGTAAAAGAAATGAACCGAAAAAGCCTCAGAAACAAAAACGCAAAATAAAGAGCAAAAACAAAAGTGCCAAACTTGATCCATTCCGGAAGTCCGTTTGACTTCCGAAATGTTCGGAAACCAAGTCACAGCTTCTGATTGTTGCAGGCGCCACAGAAACAATAGCCGACAGCCGCGTCAGATGTTCGGCTTCCGAAAAACGTTCGAAAACTGGAACACACACTTCTGGGTTTTCAGCGTTTTGAGAACCAAGGTATCACTGTAAAAATAATAATAAGCCGCCCATCTGACTGGGTTGCCCCAGCCACTCTGGGCAGCTGATTATTGTGGTTCAGAGTGGGAAAGGAGACCGCAGGATCAAGCCCTGGGGGCCCCATCCGGCCCAGCGTCCTGCTCTCCTCGCAGTGCTCAAATGGCCCCAGCAGCCTAGGACTCCAGGTAGGCTGCCTCTGGGCCTGGAGGCTCCACCAGACCATCCAAAGAGACCCTGCTGGATCAGTCCCAGCTGTGGCACGACGGGGCTGGATCCCCCCCCCCCAGCTGCTGACCTATGGAGCATTTATGGTGTGTGGCTATAGGGTAGCTGTCTTGCGTGGGCTGTGCAGGGAGGGGTTGGGGGGTCTCCTGGCCTGCCGCCCTCCCTCCCAGCCACAGGCTCATCTGAGAACACAAAGCCACTTCTTTGGAGATGCGAATTGTGACGCTTAACCAGCTAAGACCAGAGCCCTGTTCTCACAGAGGCCAAATGCTCCCATGAACCCGGCAGTGCAGATAGACTGCTTCTGGGCCTGGAGGTGCCACAAGGAAACCCGAAGAGGCTGCTGGGTCAGGCCAAGGGGGGACCATCCAGCCCAGCCTCCAGGTGCCCCAAGCAGGATTTGAACACGAGATCCCCCCGGCCCCGGGTACCCAGAAGCATCTCTGCCTCCGACTGCGGTTTGTGGAGCAGAACCTTCTCTCTCCCTTCATGAATTGGCCTGATCTCCTTTGAGAGCCAGCCAGGCCTGCACTGATTCCTGTGGCAGGCAGTTCCGCAGTTTAACGTTGCCTTTTCTGTATTTTGTGAGTTTTGCAGCTGCCGTTTCAAGGCTTTTATTTCTTGAAATGTGCAAACTGGGAAATTGATGGCGCCCCCATGGCGTTTGGGGGGGGATTTTGCCAGGGGGCTCTCCCCCCTCCCCAAACTCTGCCTGGCGCTGACTCCCTCCCCTTTTCTCCCCCCGCAGTGAAGAGCCGCAAGCCGTCCATCGGGGAGCTGATCATGCGCCACACCAACAGCCCCACGCGGGCGCGGCAGGCGGCCCAGCTGGCGCTGCAGCACATGCGCGAGGGGCCGGTGATGCACGCGCTGGCGGGGGGCTCCCTCTTCCGCACCTCGGCCGAGAAGCAGAGCGAGGCGCTGAGGGTCAAGAACGCCGTCTACTGCGCCGTCATCTTTGCCGAGTTCCTGAAGGAGCTGGCCGCCATCGCCCAGGCGCACGCCGTCACCTCGCCCTTCCTGCTGGAGCCCCCCGAGGAGAAGGCCGAGGCGGGGGGGCCAGAGTGAGCGCGGCCGGGACACCCCCCTCCACCGCCCGCCTGCTCCCCCTCCCGAACACTCCACTCCACGCCCCCCACCCCCGTCCGGGGCTCTTAACTGGAATCTCCCCCGACTCCCCCTCACCCCCCGGCTCAGCCCTGGCTGGGTCTGCACTAATCGGGGAGCCTGTGGGGGGCACCCCGTGGGGCGGGTGGGGGCACCTTTTTAAAGAAAACTCCGTACCAGGACAAGGACCTTTTTAATTTATTGGGAATGAATGTTTTTTTTCTGGAGAATTCGTTGCAATATGTATAAAAGAAGCTCTCTCTCTGTGCTGGATGTGGCCATGGGTGATTTTGCATTGGGGGGCGGGAAGAGGGCAGGGAGCGCCCGTCACTTGCCCTTTGTGCCCGCTGTGGAATTGCTGGGTTGCAAGGGCCCTCCAGAGGTCCTCCAGCCCAGCCTTTTGCAGGGCAGGAACCGCAGCTGAAGCCTCGCTGGCAGTCGGGCACCGAGCCCCAAAGCTCCCCTCTCGGCCTTCTGCCCCCAACCAAAGGCAGAGAATTGGGGGAGCTGAGAGGAGCCCAGCTGGATCAAGGGGGCCCGTCTGGTCCAACCTCTTCTCACAAGCAGGACCCCGAGTGTGAGAGCAGCTCTCGCCTCCTGCTGTTTCCAGTGGCTGGTATTTGGACGCAGGGCTGCCCCTGAGGCATTCCCAAAGCAAAGGAAGGATTGGACTCTGATAAAATACACACAGAGGCTTGACCTGCATATAATAATCCCCTTCCCCTCGGCCCAGGTCGTTTTATTCACAAAGGAACTTTTTACACGGTGTTCGTAAGAACCAATCAGATTTCAAAAAACCCCACGTGGGACAAAGTAACTAGAGAGACAACTCTGAGTATGGATAAATAAAACAGGGCTAGAGGAATGCTTTTCGGAAACTCCGGAGGTCATAAACAGCAATAAACAGGAGAGGAAGGATGGCAAGGAGATAGGGATCTTTATCACCTTCATGTGAAGCTATTTTCAGGCCCTAAGATTAACAAAACCAAGGAAGGTTACATCAAAGAAACTGCCTGCTATCTTCATGTACTGAGGATGCCTGATGAAGCAACTGGCCTGTCAGGCGTAATGAACAGTAGAGAAAATGGCCAGAGACGCAGAGGCTTGTGGGATTTGATCAGAAATTGTTGTCCATGAATTGAACCCAGTCAACGCCATGCTTTCATAGCGGACACAATGGCTTGGTGCATATTTTATAATTCCTCATAGTAATCCCATCTGATCCCCACACACTCTGGATATTTGCACTCCTACACTGCTGAGTTGCCTTTGACAGCCCTCTCCTCCTCTTTGAATTTGTCTAATCCCCAAGTTGGTGACCATCACTGTCTCCTGTGGCAGGGAGCTCCAGTGGCGTGAAGGGCTCTTATCTGTCCTGAATCCTTTAACGTTCAGCTTTTTGCTCAGTGTGGGGCTTCGCACACACAGCCCCCCCCCCAGGCTCTCAGCTGCTTCGACCAATGGTTGGCAGTGGAAGGAGCCTCAGCCAAGTGTGCTCCAACTAATAATAAATAATAATTACTATTTTTTTATACCTGGCCGTCCCTGGTTCAGAAAACCGGGCTCAGGGTGGCTAGCAACAAATCTAAGACGCTTAATTGATGCAACAAAAACCAGCATAAAATACAGTATAAAACACGAATAGCCATCAATTCAGAATTCAAAAATCAATTTGGGGGGGGGGGGAGTCCATCCAATAAACATTAGATGATCCCCAGGGCTAGCTGGCTAAGTTAGTCCTATTTGGGCCAGTGAGGAGACCAGGGGAGAATTGGCTGTGGGATCCCAGAGCGGGGAATCTTCATAAAAAGGGGAGGAAGGGGAATAAAAGATCAGGCTGAGTTCAAATGGAAAGCCAGGCGGAATAGCTGTCTTACAGGCCTGACGGAAGGAGGTTAAATCCTGCAGGGCCCTGGTCTCCTGGGACAGAGCATTCCACCAGGTCAGAGCCACCACTGAGAAGGCCCTGGCCCTGGTGGAGGATAGTCTGACTTCCTTAGGGCCCGGGACCTCTAAACTACTAGATGGCCTCTGGGTGCCCCACAGAGCATGAGGCGGCTCCTCCACTGGGACTCCCCCCCCCCCCGCTGCAGGTTCTCTCCCTTGGCTTGCTGCCCCCCCCCCACTTCCTGCGCCCACCCTCCTCCTCCAATCGGGGCCACACGCCTGGCTCTGGGTGCAAAGGGCTCTTTATTGGCGGCGTCTCTGGGCTCACTCTTCAGTGTCGCTCTCGGCTGTGGCGCTCTGCAGGAGGGGCAGCGACATGGAGTGCCTCTCGGCGTCGGCCAGGCTGGCACTGGACGGGCCGGACTTGGGGTGGTGGCGCCGGAAGGGCCATTTCCCTGCGGGGACCAGAAGAATCGCCGCATCAGAGAGTTGGGCGGGGCTCCCCGAGGGCATCTAGTCCAGCCCCCTGTGCCGCAGTAGCCCCTGGCTTCCTAGACCTTCCCAGAAGGTGCCCGTCCGTCCGCTGGGCATTCCGAAACCACCACCTCTCCCCACATTTCAGCCCCACCAGCTGGGGCATAGGGGGAGAAGCCCAGCAGAGGCCTCAGTGGGGGCCTGGCTGGGGGCAAGAGCGGCCCTCCCCCCAAAGTGCTACCCCCCTCATGGGAAAAGCAGAGAATCGTAGATTTGGGAGGGCCCTCCAAGGATCATCCAGTCCAACCCGCTGCAGTGCAGGAATCGCAGCTAACGCAGGTGGACCTTGTATCATGGGGAGGGGTGGCAATTCTGAACAGGGAAAGAACCAAGCAATGTCACCCCCACCCCCACACACAATCAACCTGTGGGTCCCCAGATGTTGTTGGACTACAACTCCCATCACCCCTCGCTAGCAGGGCCCAGAGCTCAGGGATGATGGGAGTTGTAGTCCAACAACATCTGGGGACCCACAGGTGGAGAACCGCTGGTTCTAGTCCAATTCCCTGCAATGCAGAGAGCCAAGTGGCTGGAAGGGGGCGCCAGGCAGCATGGTGGCTGTGGGGGGGGGCTTGAGAAATGACCGAGGGGGGGTCTAGATGCCCGCAAACTGCGACAGAGGCATTTAGCCCCTAGAAGGCCGCCGGAAATTTGTGTCCTGGCCTTCTTTAGACTCTTCTTCCCACGTGCTGTCTGAAACCAGAGGGGCTCGTGGGTTGCCAGATGTCAAAAATATGGGCCTTATTTTTACCACCACCCCCCCACTTGAAGGCACAGCTGCAAACCTACGAAGAGAATAAGAGGTTTTCCTCTGGGTCGGAGGGGGCCACCCAGGGCAGCCTCCTCCTTATGGGAAATCCACAAGCAGGATTCGAACACAGCTCTCCTCTCCTGCGACTTCCGGCCCCTGGGACCCGGAAACACGGCTGCCCCCAATAATGAAAGCACCAAACATTGAAAACTTCCTCCAGCTGTAGAGGCAGAGCGCAGCCGTCCTGCCTAGTGGCTGCGGAGAGCCCTCTCGTCATAGAATCAGAGTCGGAGGGGAGCCCCGAGGTCATCCATTCCCACCCCCTGCCATGCAGGAATCTCAGCTCAAGCATCCCTGACCCATGACCAGCCAAGCCGGCGGCCGCCACGGTCTCCCGTGAACAGCGAAATGGGGGGCTTCCTCGCAGGGAGATCCCCCCCCCGGCGCGCCCCCGTCTGCCTCACCTGCCAGGGTCCTGGTGGGCCTGCTGAGGGGTCTCCAGCGCTTGCGGGCAGCCTTGCCCTCCTCCTTGGGCAGGGGGCTCTCCAGAGGCGGCTGGGGGGCCGGGGTCGTGGGGGGCTCCAGCACCGCCATGCGGACCCAGGCGGCCCTGGCAGGCAAGCTGTGGCCGGTGGGCTTCTGGGAGCCCAGCACCCCTTTGGGTCCGAGGGCGAACTTGAGGCAGGAGAAGGCGACGGGCAGCGGCTGCTCGCGGTGGAAGATGCTGCGCTGGGCGCCCTGCGTGACGGCCAGGGCCAGGCTGGCGCAGTAGAAGACCTCGTAGACCACGTAGACGCTGCTCTGCGAGCGCAGCCAGGGCAGGTCCGGGCGCAGGGCCACGGTCCCGGGGCGCAGGACCAGGAAGGCCACCTTCTTGTGGACCCCCGACATGGTCAGGCGCAGGTGGCGCAGCGCCCCCGCCACCAGCCGCGTCTCCTCGTAGCGCGACTCGCCGCGCACCCGGGCGTGGTACTCGCGCGTGCAGTGGGTCAGCTCCCGGGCGGGGGTGCCCTCCTGCAGCAGGCTCTCCAGGGGCCCCACCGGCACCAGGCAGCGCTGGCGGCGGAGGAGACCCTGGCCCAGGGGGCGCTTCTTGATCAGCGCCGTCAGCAGGTCGTAGGAGGCGGCGTCTTCCAGGAAGGGCACCGGGACCACCGTGGGGCCGAAGCGCTCCTCCACCACCTGCCCAGAGAGAGGGGAGGGGGGGGTCAGGACGGGGCAGCGTGGGGAGGGGCACCCGAGGGGCATCTAGGGCAGCTGGAGAGAGACTGAAGACGGAATCTGAATTCAAAATGACCTTGTCAGGTTGGAGAAGCGGCTGCTAGCTAACAAGATGAATTTCACTGGGGACAAAAGTAAGGTTCTAGCTACAGGTAGGTAGCCGTGTTGGTCTGCCATAGTTGAAACAAATTAAATTAAATTAAATTAAAATATTCCTTTCAGTAGCACCTTAGAGACCAACTAAGTTAGTTAGTCTGGTGACTTCTGTTTCAGTGTATCTGAAGAAGTGTGCATGCACACGAAAGCTCATACCAAGAACTAACTTGTTGTTGTTGTTTAGTCGTGTCCGACTCTTCGTGACCCCATGGACCAGAGCACGCCAGGCACCTCTGTCCTCCACTACCTCTCGCAGTTTGGTCAAACTCATGCTGGTAACCTCGAAAACACTATCCAATAACTAACTTAGTTGGTCTCTAAGGTACTACTGGGAGGAATTTATTTATTTATTTATTTATTTATTTTAAAAAAATTGTTTCAAAAGTAAGGTTGTGCACTTAGGCAGGAAGAACCAGATGCACAAATATAAGATGGGGGAGACCTGGCTTACTAGCACTACCTGTGAAAAGGATCTAGGGTCTTGATGGACCACAAGCTCAACATGAGTCCGCAGTGTGATGCAGCAGCCAAAAAAGGGAATGCTATTCTAGGCTGCATCCACAGAAATCTAGTGTCCAGATCAAGGGAAGTCATAGTCCCACTCTATTACAGTGGTACCTCGCGTTACATACGCTTCAGGTTACAGACTCCGCTAACCCAGAAATAGTACCTTGAGTTAAGAACTTTGCTTCAGGATGAGAACAGAAATTTAGCCCCATTAGCTAAAGTGGTACCTCAGGTTAAGAACAGTTTCAGGTTAAGAATGGACCTCCGGAATGAATTAAGTATATAACCAGAGGTACCACTGTATTCTGTTTTGGTCAGACCACACCTGGAGTCCTGTGTCCACTTCTGGGCACCACAATTTAAGGAGGATGTTTGACAAGCTGGAAGGTGGGCAGAGGAGGGGGACCAGGATGAGCCATATTCCTCCTTAAACTGAGGACCCCACAAGGCGTCACATGAGAGCCCCCAGGTCAGGTTAGCTCTGCTGCCCCTCTCCAGGGAAGTGCTTGCAGGATCAGGCCCGTCTCCTGCTCTCACAGGGGCCAGACAGGTGCCCCTATGGGAAACTCGCACGCAGGATCGCAGCCCCAGAGCATCTCTCCCCTCCTGGGGTCTCCGGCCCCTGGCATTCGGAAGCATCACTCTCTCCACCTGAGGAGGTGGGGCAGGGCCCCCCTGATACCGCGCTGGGGGTCTTGGTGTTAGGGGCGCCCAGGAAGCCCATGCTGCAGACTCTCCCCTCCTTCCCAGGGTGCCCCTCGCCAGGCCAGCTCCCTCCCTTCCTCCTCCTCCTCCTCCTCCTCACCTTGTCCCGGATCAGCTCCCAATTGGCATCCGCCTCCCCAATCTGCAGGGTTTGGACCCCGCCGTCCATCTTGCAAGCAACTGGACAAGGCCTAGAGGGGTCCGGGAGGGTGGCAAGAGAGTGTGGGCATGGGCAAGGCCAAGGGCATGGGGCTGGGCATGGAGGGGCTGTTCAGCGGCTGGGAAGGTGGGCAGGCTTGGAGCTGGAGCAGCAGAAGGCAGGGCTGGCCTGTGAGGTCACAAAGGGCCCCCTGCCGCCATCACCCCAGGGGGCTGCATCTGAGCAGCCCAGAGGGAGGGGGAGAGAGCCCTCGGCAAGGCGGGGGGGGGGCACGTTTTGGTGCCGCCTTTGCAGACGAGAAAGGAGGGTGGGCAGAGGAAAGATTTAAGCTGAATGCTGGAAGGTTCAGGACAGAGAAGAGCAAGTCCTGTGTCACGCAGCGCATCGTTAACCTCTGGAACTCCCTGCCACAGGAGACAGCTGGGATGGCTTGAAAAGAGGATTAGACAGATTCATGGAGGAGGAGAGGGCTGTCGATAGCAGCAAGGCTTCCGGAGACCAATTGCTGGAAGCCGCAGGAGGAGAGAGGGGGGCCTCTTGTGCTGGAATCCTGCCGGGGGGGGCATCCCACGTGGGCCTCTGGTTGGCCGCTGTGAGATCAGGGGGCTGGAATGGATTCAGCAGCTCCTTCCGGTGCTCTTATGGCCAGCCTGGCTGCAAAAGCGGTTTCTTGGGCAACGTATATTTGAGAAGGATCTAGAAAAGCATCGTACTGGGAGGCCCAAGACGACGCCCCCCCCCCCCCTGGGAGCAGTCCCATCAGGAAGTGGAGCAGCTGAGGAGGCCTGAGGTGAGTGAGGGGGGAGCAGAGGGCATCAGCCCCCCCCCACTTACCTTGCAATTTCCTTGTGGGATCTCAATTCAGAATAGCCCAAGAAATGGATGGGCAGAAGATTCAGACGCTGAGGAGGCAGAGCTGTCCCAGGACATGGGATAAGATTTTGCCCCCCATTCCCCCCCCCCCACACAGGAGCCAATGGGCCTGGCAGCTGGACCTTGCCTCACCCCCCGTCTTCTGCCACAGGGCCAGGAGGCCTGCCACTCTCAGCTTCGGCCTCCAACAGAAAAGAATATACCGTATTTTTCACTCCATAATATGTACCTGACCATAAGACGCATCTAGTTTTTTAGAGGAGGAAAACAAGAAAAAATAATATTCTGATCGAAACAGTGGATGTATGATTTTTGTGGTTCATGCTGTGGCCACAGACATGTGATCTGATGGTGAATTTGGGGTGACCCAGTGCAAAAATCCTGAGGATCCATGTGCTTTTACCTCCCCCCTCCCAGGCAGCCTCAGCTAGCCTCCCTTATCTCTCTTCCAATCCCACCGATCAGCTGTTTCCTTTCAACACTCCCTTCCCTCTTGTTTGCCTTAATGTCTTTTCCTTAGCTGGAGCAGTTTTTTGCTCCTCCTTTTCTTCTAATTTCTCTCCTTATTGCTTTAGTCTTCCTGTTTCCCCCCTTTGCAAGTTTGCTGTCTTTCCCTCCCCCCTCCCAGGCAGCCTCCTTTATCTCTAGCGTCCCTTATCTCTCTCCCCATCGGCAAACGATCAGCGGCTTTGTTTCAACCCACTTCCCTCTTTCAAAAAAAAAGTATCTGAAGAAGTGTGCATGCACACGAAAGCTCATACCAAGAACTAACTTAGTTGGTCTTTAAGGTGCTACTGGAAGGAATTTTTTTTGTTTTGACTATGGCAGACAAACACGGCTACCCATCTGTAACTCAAAAAAAAAGGAGCATGATCTGCTTTTTACCCCTGGGCAATTCGTTTCCAGGGACCATGCATTCGCTCCATAAGACACACAGACATTCCCCTTATTTTTTAGGAAGAAAAAGTGCATCTTATGGAGTGAAAAATACGGTATATTTCTTTTTTGTTTCAGGGGCAGGAGGAAGGAACTGCCAGGGGGTCGTGAGTCTCTCCTCCCCACCTGTCCAAGGTCTCTTCACTCTGCCAAGTAACAGAGCTGCCCTTCTAGGAGTTGGTACTTCACCAAAAGAAGAAGACAAAATGCTTTATGGCAGTGGTTTCCAACCCATGTGCCATGGCACCCTGGGTGCCTTGAATGGTGGTTGGGGTGCTGTGGGCAACCCTGGCCTCTGCCCCTCTTTCCTTCCCTTCCTCTTCTGATGCCCCCTCACATCTCTGCCTCCCAAAGGCTTGCATGGCTACAGGGGAATGGTGTCCCTTTGGTTGGTCAGGGGATGCTGGTTGCCAGAAGCTGAAGTGGGTGAAGGAGCCCAGCCCGCCAGCCCATGTTGCTGGGAATGGACAGACAAGTGGGAGGCCACCAGGCAGGCTGTTATATGCTGAGTTGAATAGGATCCAAAATGCAGCAGTCTGATTGGTCCCTAGAACAATAGGATCCCAAAATGCAGCAGTCTGATTGGTCCTAGAACAATAGGATTCAGAATGCAGGCAGTCTGATTGGTCCTAGGAACAATGCAGCAGTCTGATTGGTCTGCAGGGGCCACCCAATCCAGCTCCAGGTGGAAGTGAATCCACAACCTGATTGGCCTACAGGAGAATCCCGGAATTAGCCAATCACATGGCAGCCCATTGGGTAAATAAAGCAGATATTTTAGGGGAACTTGCATTCCTCCTCACCACTATGAGCTGAATAAAGAGCATGAAATCCACTCTCTACTTCCGGGTATATTTCACATGCGCTGCGCTGGCCTTTCTTGTGTTTTCCGCTGCCACTGCTGCCTCCCAAGGCAAGGTGCTGGCCTCCCGTTCAGCTTTGGCCACAAAGGCCCTTGTGGGGCAGTGTGAGGAAGCGCCTCTCTGTGGGTTGTGGGGGTGGCTCAGAGACCAGGGGGGGTGGAGGCTGAGGGAACACTCCACAAGGGAGGGGGTTCCAAAAGGGCGAGAGGCTGCCAGCTCTGCAGGCAAGGGGGAGGCACAACTGGGCTCCTGAGCCCCACAGGGGGGCCGCAGAAAGAAGGGAGTTGGTCAAGGGAGCTGTGGACCCAAGAAGGTTGAAAACCTCTGCCATATGTCCTGTTTCCCCTGGACATGTCTTCCAGGCGGATTTTTAAATTTTTGCTAAACGTCTGTTTTCTTCATGAGAGCAAGAACTGCCGCTTTCTGTTATCTGGGCCTGTCTGAAGAGCGGAACCTTGAAGCGCAGCTCTGGCGTCCAGTTGGCAGAGGGGATGGACACAGCCGAGGCAGAGCAGGGTGACGGAGGAGGGGGCTGGGGGGGGGAGTTCCTTCTGCGATGTCCACTGGGACCTGCACTTGTTGGCTATTTGCAGATTAGTTGTGCTGCAGAAGGCGTGCTGGGGAGACCACACATTACAAGGAATGCAAAAATAACTTTTGCTAGGTTTTAATAACAAAAACTCCTTTTACAATAAATCAATAAGCATGACCCATCCACCAGGGCACTGAGAGAGCGACATGCTGCTCTTTATATACCATACCCAACAGCTTAATTAACATAACAGCACCTGCTGTACTGCTTCACAGCTGTAAAACTAGGTCACGTTATTTGCTCTGGCCCTTAAAGAAATACACATCTTGTGGAACAATAATGAACCTTCAGATTTAAAGAGACCATTCAACAGCACCTGGTGCTACAGCTGGACAATGGCTCCTTTCGCCTGCGCCTGAGCTGGGCCTGCCAGGCTGCCAAGGTTGCTGGTGAGCAACTGCTCAGCTTCTGCTCCTTGGTGGTGCCTATTTATCTACTTGCACTGGCGTGCTTTCGAACTGCTAGGTTGGCAGGAGCAGGGACTGAACAACAGGAGCTCACCCCGTCACGGGGATTTGAACCGCCAACCTTCCGATTGGCAAGTCCTAGGCTCTGTGGTTTAACCCACAGCGCCACCCACCTAGATAAATAGGTACTGCTGCAGTGGGAAGGTAAACGTCATTTCCATGCATTCTGGTTTCCGTCAGTGTCCCATTGCACCAGGAGTGGTTTAGTCCTGCTGACCACATGACCCGGAAATCTGTCTGTGGACAAATGCCGGCTCCCTCGGCACTGAAAGCGAGATGAGCGCCGCAACCCCAGAGTCACCTTGGACTGGACTCAACCGTCCAGGGGTCCTTGACCTTTTTTACCTTGGTGGTGCGTAGCTGCGGGCTCAGAGGGAGCTGAGGGGTGGGCAGGCTTCTGCAAAGGAAGGATCTGTGCCTTCTGTGCATGTAATACTCGGTGTGTAGGTCCAATTGTTCAGCCCAGCAGAAACCAGCCTGCTTCCCTCCAGATGTCTCTGTTCCGGCTAGAGGCCAAAAGTAACGAGATAGGCCATTCATCATGGCGTCCGGCACACTTCCATTGCGCAGCTCTGTTTACTCTCCGTGCCGCTCCAAAAGTCCTCTGCCTCTTCAGCCGGTAGCAGAGCAATAGCAGCAGTTAGAAGCGAATTGCAGCGTGTAGGTAATAACTCAAAGCAGACACAAGGCTTTCCTTATCTTCTTGGCCTTTAATCAAGTAGAATAACAACATAAATCAGACCTGGCGAAACCTCGCCCATCCTCCTCCCTCTCGCATAGCGTACCAGAGGCAGACTGACACACACAGAGCAAACCACTCCCGTAAGTGTCTGTGACCACGCCTCATGATGCAAGGCGTCACACAGAACCTCTTAACCCTGTAGGTTCTGCTTCTCCCACAGTCTCTGCCTCTTGGGGTTCCTGGATCGTAGAACTGCAGAGCCTGAAGGGACCCTGCGGGTCATGGCTCTTTTTTGCTCTTCAGAACATGGCAACCCTCTTTATGGAATTTGAAGCTGCATCTCCACAGGAGAAGCTCAGCTGGATCCGGCCAAAGGCGGCCCACCTAGTGCAGCTCCTTTCCTCTCAGGGGTCAACGGCTGCCCCAAAGCGGAACCCACAAGCAGGATTCGAGCACCAGAGCAATTCTCCCCTCCTGCATTTTCCAGGAGCTGGCATTCGGAAACAGGGCTGCCTCCCGTCCTCTTGTAAAACCATCAAGGTTTGTAGCCATCCTTGCCTCTTGTGGGAGGGAGTTCCATAGTCACTGCACTGCGTGACTTTCTTTTTATCCACCCTGAATCTTCCCACATTCAGCTTGATCTCTCCACTTTCTCCACGCTGTAATCTGTAGCAGGACCCCCCCCCAATCATCCTGTTTGTACAAACTTCACACACACACACACTCACACATGACATACGCCACATTTCTGTTATAAATTCATAGAAAATCAGCCATACATCGGATTTGCACTGTTCCATTTTTATTTTACTCCATATGACAAGAACTAACAAAGGGGGGTGGCTTGGTCCTGGTCAGCCATAATCCCTCCACCATCTCAGCACATCTGCAGGAGCCCTGCCCAGATGATCCCAGACAGAAGACAATCAAGTTCACAAAGAACTTGCATATGGGAGTGGATTCAGCATGGACTGAAACAAAGGACAATGATCAGATCTTCCCTCAGGGGGCAGGAAACTGCAAACTCCCCTTTGTCTCCTGGAAGTGACTCATGGGGAGGGGGGAAAGGAGGAACCAGCCAGGTGACAAGACACTCAGGTTACCACCAACTCCTCCCTCAACCCCTCCTTTCTGTAATGTATGCATGATGTTTCTGGGGGTGGGCTTGACCTAGAGGAGGGGAATTTTCAAAAGTTTTTATAAGACCTTGCACACTGTTTTTCTTGGTCTTTGCTCTCACCTGCAAGTGAGGGGAGCACCCTGTCGCGACAGTCTTTCTTCAATAAAGACCAAGCCTACAGGCTGCTGATTTGCTTCAATTTACTCTGGTTGGTGTCTTTACTTTTTGTCCAAGGGAGCCCTCGGATTTTTCTGGTAACAAATCTTATAAGCTTCTATCGTATCTCCTCTTCCTCGCCTTTTCTCTACGCTAAAGCGTCCCGCTCAGCTGCCTTTGCGAAGAGGATGGGGCAGCCCGTGCCCCCACCTGTCCCCCCTCACCCCGTCCTGCTCTGAGCTTCCCAGCAGAGGCTGCCAACCCAGCCTGCCCCCAGCTGGAGCCTCCAGGATCACGTGACGCCTCTCTGCCCCCACCTGCCTCCACCTGCCTGCCAGTTCCTCCCTCTCCCCAGTCTCCCTCTCACCTGTCCTGGGCCGAAGCCCCCTCAGCCTCCTGGGGCATCTTCCTGCTGCTTCAGGGAGAAGGTGAGTTCCTCATGGGGCCCCGGGGACCTGCAGGAGGGGGAGGTCCCAGCCACCCCATAGCACTTGGGGGCCTTTACCCTCACCCCAATAATTCTGTCTCCTGCATAGCTCCTCCACAAGCTCACCCCCAATTCCTTTCAGGCTCCCACCACCCCTGCGGATCTGCCTGCCCCAGAGGAATTGAGCGGCTAGCAGGCTGGCCTGGGAATGGGGCAGCCATGGGGAAAGAGACAGAGAGAGTCTGCCAGGGCTCATGAGATATTCATGGTGACACCTGAGACAGCAGCTGCCATGCTGGCCTGGCCCCCCACCCCTGGTTCCTGGCAGCCAGAGATGCAACGGATGCTCTTAGGACCAGCTTAATTCCATCCTCTGGAGTCTTTTCCTGCTATTTTTAGTGCTTTGCAATATTGTGGTGTTTTTTTTAAAAAAAATACATTTTATTAGTTTTAAACATATTAATTAACATTCATACCACAGAATTTCACATCTTATACAATATTTTTCAGACTTCCGTCAACACCTCTGATGAATTTCTCTTCTTATCACTTATTATGCATTTCATAATTTCATATTACCTTTAATTATCTTTAACTAATAATTTCCCTCATTGTCTTTTTTGCAATATTTCAAATAATTCACCTTACAAAACTTCTTGCAAACCTACTAGCATAATCTGTCGATCACAATTACTTTTCAAATAGTCTGTAAATTTACCCCAGTCTTCTGAGAATCTCTGATCCCGCAGGTTTTGAATCCAGTGATTTGCAATATTGTACTTGCACAACAACGGTGCAACCTGCCCTGGGACTCCAAAGTAGCGGGCGAAACTCACAGGAAATAGCGAAGCTGGAAGGGGTTCCAGCGGCCAACGACTCCAAACCCCCACAATGCAGGAATCACCTCAAAAGCTTCCCTGGCAGGTGGCCGTAAACTGCAATAAAGCAGTAATCAGTCAGTTTTATTGCACATAGCCAAAGGCTGCTGCAATGTACACAGAAGCATTCAACAATTAAAATAAAATATACTGGATTGATACAAAAAACTCAAGACAAGGCATTACCTACTCTAAACAGAGCTATAAAAGTACCTTAATATACAGGTTAAGACATTAAACAATAAAATTAATAGGCTAAAATTATCACATGGCCACTAATATATTAAAAAATAGTGTTAATTAATACAATGTGCAATTATATTCGGAGTTTGGTAATATCTTGATGTAGATAGGGTCAAATAAATTCATCTCCTTTAAAGTTGGTGGCTACCTTGGCTATATAATTTGCTCTAATTTTCCTAGCAGCAGTTGCAAAGAGTGCTACACGCCAGGTCACATACTTATCTGTGTCTGCGAAGAGATATAAAATCATGTCAGAGGGGTTCAGGGCAGGGGACCTGGTCGTTATAGGTGCTAAAAATCATTCTCTCGCTTCATTATATAAGGGGCAGCGCAAGATATAATGCATAATGATAATGTTACCTGCCTAGCCAAGTCTCTGAGAGGTGAGAGACGCCAGGAGTTTCAGATCCATCTTTGGTTTCCTTGGGGAAAAGGTCAGCAAAGACGGTGGTGTCTTTGGACTATATGATTTTATTTACATACAACCTGAATGAAGGATGGAGGGTCTCCCAGCAGGAGCACCCCAGGAGATCTTGCTTCTGCAGCAGTCACAGCTTTGGTTCCAGCGCAGAGTGAGCCGCTCTCTGTGTCCCCCGTCTCCTGGCTCAGATCCCACCCCGAAACTCTGCCTCTCGCTCTCCTACCTGGCAGGCAGGTGAGGTGGGGAAGACCCGCCTTGTGTGTCCTAGAGTACAAAGCAACTTCTTTGGAGATGCGAATGGCGACGCTTAACTGCCGTATTTTTCGCTCCATAAGATGCACCTGACCATAAGACACATCTAGTTTTTTAGAGGAGGAAAACAAGAAAAAAATATTCCGATCGAAACAGTGGATGTATGATTTTTGTGGTTCATGCTGTGGCCACAGACATGTGACCTGATGGTGAATTCGGGGTGACCCAATGCAAAAATCTTGAGGATCAATGCGGATCTGTGCTTTGTAACCATGTTTTTTCACCATTGCGGTCCCACACAACAGTGGATGTGTGATTTTTTTTGGTGGAGGCTGTAGCCATGGACATGCTATGTGATCTGATGGTGAATTTGGGGTGACCCAATGCAAAAATCCTGAGGATCCATGGACTTTTACCTCCCTCCTCCCAGGCAGCCTCCTTGATCGCTAGCGTCCCTTACCTCTCTCCCCGATCGGCAAACTATCAGTGGTTTTGTTTCAACACCCACTTCCATATATTTTTTTAATAAATAAAGCATGATCTGCTTTTCTCCCCTGGGCAGTTCGGCTCCAGGGGACCAGCATTCGCTCCATAAAATGCACAGACATTTCCTCTTACTTTTTAGGAAGAAAAAAGTGCGTCTTATGGAGCGAATAATACAGCAGCTAAGTCCAGCGCCCTGTTCTCCCACAGGCCAAATACTCCCAAGAACCTAGCAGTGCAGGTAGACTGCCTCTGGGGCTGGAGGCTCCACAAGGACGTCCAAAGAGGCTCCTGGATCAGGCCACAGGGGGAACACCCAGCCCAGCCTCCTGCCCTCACAGTGACCAACCAAATGCCTGTGTGAAACCCACCATCTGAGCCCTTCCCCCTCCTGTGGTTTTTGGCAACTGGCATTTTGGAGCATCACTGCCTCTGACCGTGGAAGCAGAGCAGAGCCAAGCTGCTAGTCATCTGTGTCTCCTGTGGGAGGGAGTTCCACAGTCTGGTTTTTTATTTTTTTCATCCCCCCCCCCAGTTTTATTTATTAACATTCTTATATTACACTGGTAAACATTGCCATATGACAGTGGTACCTCAGATTAAGTACTTAGTTCATTCCAGAGTTCCGTTCTTTACCTGAAACTGTTCTTAACCTGAAGCACCACTTTAGCCAATGGGGCCTCCTGCTGCCGCCGCGCCGCCGGAGCACGATTTCTGTTCTCATCCTGAAGCAAAGTTCTTAACCTGAAGCACTATTTCTGGGTTAGCGGAGTCTGTAACCTGAAGCGTATGTACCCTGAAGCGTATGTAAGCCGAGGTACCACTGTACATTACAGAGCTTATCATAATATATTTTCCAACATGTATACCAAGATTATATACAAACGTTATATACCTGAAAAGAAATAAAAGAAAAACAAAGAGAAAAAACGAAGACAATTCCCCCACCCCCAAATCATATACGTACCAACACATTGGACTTCCTGTCTATCCCGTTATATATTCCCCCCCTTTTTTTTTTACAAATGAATGTACTCTTATTACTGTATATTCCTTTTACATTTTATCTAATACACTCCTATAACAATATGGGCTCTTGATCTTATTCCTCAACTCAGTCTCTCTCCAACGTCAATCAAA